CTAGCTGATAGTTTCATAGCTCAAAAGCACCATTTCATGATTAATGTGTTCCTGCAACACCACTATCACTCAGGTGTTTGAGGTTTTAACAGGAAGACCAGCTCAGTAATGAGCAATGAAAACTCCTTATCACTGTCCTGTAAGCTCTTGTTTGGCTACATGAACTGATAATAAAACTTTTCAACAAATGAACACTAGCATAGTTTAGTAAAAGCATCCAGAACACACACAATCAACTTGTATTACTTAGGAAGTATCATTTTTACCACTGAGGGTTGGAGTTGTGAAACGGTGTGCACTCTAAATTCCAATCTAATCATGAGCTAGAGCAGTGGTCAGCAAACTATGGCCCAGATGATTGTTTCTGGAAGTCAAGTTTTACAGGAATGCAGACACGCCCATTCGTTTCTGTACTGTCTATGGCAGTTTTAGAGCCACAGTGGCAAAGTATGATAGCGACCATATGTTTTGCAAATCGTACCTGACCCTTTAAGAAAATGTTGGCTGACCTCTGAACTACAGAATATTTTTCTAATGCCTTTTATATATCTTATTCCAAAACTTTCCTGGTTAAGTTTTTAGAGCGAAGAAAAGGAATCTTATTAGACTGAGATAATTATAGTTCAAAATGACACATGCTCACAGTCTGTTTCTGCTTTGATAAAAACCAGCTAGTCATTAAGCTTGGCCTTTCTACTGGTTGCTGTGTTGTTCCGTTGCCACTTCTCTATCAGGGATGTCTGTTCATACTCTCACTTGGGCCTTGGGCGTCTTAATTTCTGCTACTGCTCAATTTCCCAGCATGCTCCTCAAGCCTGCATTTTTACCAGTTTCATCTGTCTCCTTTCCCTTGTCTCTTACCAGTTTTACTAATGTTTTTCATGTTCTCTGGATTTGGTAAAATCACCCCTTCCATCTTGTAAGTTATTATTTAACAAATTGTGTAGTTTTAGCTTATTAAAAAACGTCAGTATGTGAATAAATCTAAACAAACACTAATCTCTTCCTTACGCTCCTTGCATTTCAGTCTTTCCCATTGGGTTTAATGTGTTTCTTCCTAAAGTGCAACCGGCTCTTTGCTTGTTTGTTCTCAGGGGTGCTGCCCAATCTGAGCTTGGAGCAGCCTTGGATCAGCTCCTACGTTTTGCAACAAATACTCTGTTGCTCGTGGTAATGTGCTGCAGAAGAAATCATTCCCTATCTCACCTGATTTCTGTATCTCAAGGATTCATTAGTTTCTTGTCTAATGAACCCCTTCTTATAGACCAAAGAAAATACTGATTCATTTTATTTATTTATTTTTTAGCTGAGCCATCCTGCCACCTGTTGGCAGCTCAGCGGCAGCTCAGCTTGGGCCGGGAATCGAACCGGTGACCCTGCTGCTCAGAGCTCGCACTCTTGAGCAAGCTCTTAACCAACTGAGCCACTCGGCTGGCCCAATACTGATTCATTTTAAACACATCTTTTCTGTCATGGGGTGGGGAGAGGATTACCACGGCATTTGCTCAGACCTCGGTCCTGAAGTAAAGTCTCACATGTGTTCTCTACATTTGTTTCATTACTAACTAGCTCAGCAATTAAAAATCAGGCCAGATAGCTTTTACCTACAGAAATATACATGTTCCATTTCTCATAACTGTCTCTGACAGTGATTCTGAAAGGCAGTCTTAAGTAAGAGAAAGAACATGGACTTCTGACTTGTAATCTTAATTCCATTGTATTCTGTCTGACTTCAGGTAGTTCCTTAACCACCATGAAATAGTATCCTTATCCATATGATGGAGATGATTATACACAAAGTACTTCATATATATTTTCCATACATGTTAGTTTCCTCTTTTGCTAATGGAAAATAATCAAACATTTAAAATTCCTAATTGCATCATAAATTTCATCTTCCACTGCATTACATCAAAAAGTATTGTCCATAAGTGACACAGCATGTCACATGGAAGATTGCTAGAGTATTTGAAATCAAATGCTTTTTGTTTTTGTGATTTTCCCCTATTAACTGTGATCATACTGAATTCTTAAATTTCTGTTTATTATTTTGGCATTTTTCCTAGGCTAATGATACACGAGCTAGATAATATACTAGGAATGTCAATGAAACTAGTAAACTTCTTAAACTAAGTACAGTAAAACCTTGGATTGAGAGTAACTTGGTTTGTGGGTGTTCCGCAAGACGAGCAAACATTTCTAATACATTTTAACTTGGTAAACGAGTGATGTCTTGCAATATGAGTAGTTTGTTTCTGGAACGAATTATGCTCACAAACGGTATTACTGTACTTTGAAAATGAATTCATAATAATCCATAAGAATTCTACTTTTGATAAAATGTAGAAGAAATTAGATGTCATAATACAAAATTGATTGTAATTTTAAAAAATGCACTGGAATAGCCTGATTTTAGCAACTATGGATTTTTAAAAGAGCACAATCAATTAAAAAAAAGTGGCTAACAAAACTATAGGGTATCCATTAAAGAAGCTTATGCAAAAATACAATCAAAGTAATTAATTTTCAAACAGCAGAACTAAATTTTACTAGGTTGCTTTTATAAAGGTTATAAAAATCTTTCATCTAAAATAACAGCTCTACATGGTTACAATTGATCTGCCATCAATAGAGCCATCTCTGAATGTCACGGACTTAGCTACAAAAATCAAGGCTCAGACACAAATAAAAGAACAATATTACAGGCACAAGTAAAAGAAAAAATAAGCTAGTTAAAAGTTACACAACTCAATAATTTAGCAAGAGTACATACTTATAGAGACCCTTCTCAAATAACATATTAAGACCTAATGTACATGCTGATCGAGCCAGAAGATTCTTGAATAGTGGAGTCTCATAACTACAAGGTATCCATGACCCGAAACATCATGTTTTGGGAATAAGGAATATAGAATGGCTCAGGCCCTCTCTAGCACAAGAATAATTGTGTCCTATTTTGTTGGTCCTATAGGAAAGAGGCATATCAGAAAGGAATATAGTTCAGATCTACAGTTTGAGATAGGGCTAAAAAGAACATGCTAGTGGCATCTCATTTAGTAAATGACCAGAGCCTAAGGATCTAAACTAAACAGGATCCATGGTGGTTTTTATTTTCAGCGAACAAAACCCTTGGCTGGTAGGAAAGGTCAGGGAAAGGGGGGGGGAAGGAAGGAATCATTCATTTCTGTTTGTTTTTATTCTGACTTACGAGGTTTTTTTTAATCGAGGTATAATTGACAGGCGACACTGTATTAGTTTAAGGTGTACCCCACAATGATGTAATATTTGTATATATTGTGAAATGATTATCATCCATCACCTCACATTAGTATTTTTTGTGTGTGTGATGGGAACTTTTAAGATTTACTCTTAGCAACTTTCAAATATACACTATAGTATTTCTAACTGCTTCTTTAACTATACACTTAGCAGATAGGTTGAGGAATTAAACAGGGGAATTAAGTCCATGGTGAGGAGGCGAGCTGAGAGGCAAAAAGAAATCAGATCCTGGTCCTATGGCTTCAGCCCAGCGTCAGGCTGAGCCTCAACTGTAGTTATGTGCGTCAACAAGATCTCTTTAAGCCTATGTGAGCTGGGTTTAGTTACTTGCAATACAAAGAGTCTTAACTAATAAAATATTGGAATTACATAAATTTTTCATGAACTGTCAATCAATATTTGTAGCCTGCGACAAGTTTTTAATACGGTAAGCAAAAATATTCCCCCAGGGATGAACTTATTCAGTAGTTTACAACGGTGGTTTTTAACCTTTTCCTGAGTGTGGGGAAGGAATGGACAGTAAGAGGAAAGACAATGACTAAAATCTTTTTAAGCACATCCCACCACACATTCTGAATCTACTACAGTGGCCCAAAATACTTCCGTTTATGTTGTCTTTTGGAGAACTGCGTCACTTGTATCAGCATGGGGTGTAGTATTGAAAAAATACTGTTGACATATACCAAAAAATCCCCACAAAACTAGCAAAACAACAACTACACATTTAAAGAAATCCAGTAATTGTGTTTACCATGACGCTATGGGTAAAACACCCTAGTTTAGAGGACCTGAATTAACTGCGTTCAGAACAGTATCTTTTAAAAGCTCTCATTGTGAGACAAATGTGCTACCTTCTTTCCCAATTTTTAAAAAATCTTACTGAAGATGACTCTGTGAAGCATAAAATCCTCTTTAGTCTTAGTTATATTAAAAGCTATTTATTGAGCACTTACGTGAAGGGCACTGTAGCAAAATGCTTTATATACATTTACTCATTTAATTTCTATTTCTTTCTTCTTTGAGCAGGGCTTATTTTAAAATACCAAATGAAACGTTATAAACACTTGCCCGAGTACGGCCATGAAATAAGCTTGGGACTCATACTGGTGCTTTAAGGTTTCTTGTCTCCCAGCATCTCCATTTCTTGTCTATAGAGCTAGGATGGATGCAACTTGTTTGTTAATCCCTGAAGCTGGATTCTGAACTCCATCTAAGAGTTTATAATGCCAAAGACAAAACACTGGAAACTCCAGGTTTACCATGATCTCAGTATCATCAAGATACCCTTATTAATAGCAAACTGCTTCTAATAATCTTGCTCAGTACATACTACAAAAAACGAAGTTTACAAATTCCAAACCAGGGCTACTCAAAGTGTGGTTCGTCTGTAAATTCTTACTAGGCCACGACATTTTCTATATCAAGTACAATGCTTAGTTCAGCTACCTTTTTTTTTTTTTTTTCCACAGCAAGCTATTCTTGATGAAGGAGACTGTACTGATTTATATTCTAGCCCAAGCTCCTTACCCATTGTGGACTGGTAACAGTTTGTGGACCAGCTATTTTGGGTAACAATGTTCTACAGACCTCAATTCTAGGTACTACTTCCAGTTTTCTGTCTCTGATGCTCAACAAAATTTAAATAAATTAACAACCAAATACTTAGCTTAAACAGTCACACAGTAATGGGAAAAGCAATAAAAATTAGCAATTGACCTCACCTTTGACAGAAGCAATTTCACACAGGAAATATGACCTTCATAGACAGCAGACAGAAGAGGGGTAATATGATGTTTATCTGGAGCCTATGAAATAATAAATAAAGAGATAAACCACCTTATCCATTTTTCACTTTCTCCTCCTTTCCTGATCGAATTAGGGCTGTTTACCTATTTGCCTTCCTATACAAAGTCACTTTACAGCTACACGTTCCTAACCCCTCGAGAGCTGCCAGAGGCCCACCCCGAGTCTCCTTGGAGTCAGAGTGAAGGAGAGGAGGGCTCTGACCCCAGCTCAGATCGTGGCTCTGCCACTTACTGTGTAACTAGTTCTTTAATCTCTCCGAGTCTCTACTCCTCACTAATGTAGCAATGCCAACGAGGTCCTGGAAGGAAAGAGAGGAGTAGAACACAGAACAATACAGAGGTAAAATATTGTCACAGTTGGGCCAGGTGACATGGTGTCCCCTGAAATGTTCATCTTACTTGCTGTCATGGTTCCTTAAACACTTCCCCAAACTCTGAAATGCAGAAGCTACAAACGGCAAAACTTGCCTACTGACCTCTGTTCACAAATCTAGTTTAGGTTCATCCTATGACGGCAGAGTCCTAGCACGTGGCTGCCTCCAGACAGTGCTAACTGACCAGTTGTGTCAGAACTTGAGAAGCAACAGCCAAGGGGTCAACACCCTCGCCCTCAGCTTTACAACATAGCTTGTTCCGCTTGTTCTTAAAAATCCCAACTATCTAAGTTCCACAAATTTTGGTATAATTTCAGACTGTATTCTTATTTAAAATGCAGTATTTTACACATCTACAGAAAATAACTACCAAAAGCATACACCAGGAATTTTTTCTACAATGGCAATGTTCTTTACATACATTAATATCGGCTCCTTTCAGCAGCAGAAACTCCAGGATTTCAAGCTGCCCACAATCGGCTGCATAGTGAAGAGGTTTCCTTCCGCCTTCTAGTGTCCGGTTGACGTCTTCTCCCTTAAAGAGAAAAGCCAGATGAAAACAACATTTATGTAGATTGTAGAGTGAAGAGGGGAAGGTACCTGGTATTTTTACTTTCTTAAAGCTGTGAGAGTTTCATGAAATAACTGCATTTCTGGCAAAGTGATATAAGTAACCAAAAACTTTTAATGAAATTTTGCATAAGACAGCAGTTAGCACATAGTATGAGGGTAATTCAAATCATGATTAGTCAAGCTAAGAACAATACGCAATAATGCTAAATGTAATGACATGTGTTACTGTGTTCCACTAAGAAGTTCAATCAGCATGTCAATATGTGGCCACACATGACTAACGAGTCCAAATACTGGCACTTTACATAGACCAGGAGACATGTATTATACTTAGTCAAAGAAAGCACATTATTTTGATGGAGTCAGACGTCATTATCACAGGTAATCAGTATTAGCTATTAAGAATTCATTCATTTATTCATTCAACATTTACGAAAGCCCTGTGGTATGGCAGGCACTGTACACCGAGGGGACAATGGGGAGCAAAATCAGACATGGCTTCTGATGGCGTGGCGCTGACCATCTAGTGTGATCACATGATTAAATATATCATTTCAAATTCAGTGCTATACAAATACTTATCAGAGGAACATGACTTCATCCCGGTGATGGATGGGGGTGTATAGTATCAGAAAATGAACTTAAGGCCTCAAAAAGTAGTCTTCATTCATTAAGGATTAACAGAGATCGTAACAATAACAAACACAATTACCTTCTCTACTGACCAGCTGCTATAGGTTTGGCACTGTGCTACACGTATTATCTTTAATCTTTAAATGCTCCTAATAGGAGAAAATCTCCATTTAACATAAGAAAAGTCTAAAGCTGAAAGCAAGGTTAAATAACTGTTTCATGTGGCTTAGTAACAGAGGACCGGTCTAAACCCGTTCTCTTCTATACTACCATATTGCCTCCAGTTCAGTATTTGCCCAGAAATTTCAGATTTTACCAAGTAGCAAAATGTCTGAAAGAATTAATTTCCTTAACTATTATATTATTCACCTAACTTGGTTTGGTGAACTCATCAAGCCTGAATTGAGATGTTCAGAGCCCTATCATTTTACAGCCATTAGCAGCTGTTGTTTCAAACACACCCTATATAGATGGAGAAGGCAGGTGTGTCACACGCTTACGATCACTGCAGACAGGGTCAGTGCTCCCACTCTGCCACTCGCTTGTGGGACCTTAGGCTACACTCCAAATCTTGGGAATCAAAATACATCACATGGGGCTTTTGTGTATCGTTAGGGGAGGTAATTCATACGGAGTATCTAACACAGTACCTGACACTGGCTTATAGTGGTTCTAAAAGACTATTCAAATTTCAGTGAAGGCAGGTTTCTGCATAACAGCGGAAATATAAACCAAGATGTGATCTAATGTAATGTACTTTATATTTAGAAACAAATTGAAATAGTACAGGCAATTTGGTGTACCACCTTAGTCTTTATCCACAACTGCAGAAATGTCAGGCTCTGAGGTGAAGGTAGAGATTGCTTAAATGAGTCACAGATAAAAGTAGTTTTCCTTTCATTATTAAGACTTCCTTTCCATTACTAATATTAACTAGGTAGGTCTTCTCAGTGAAACAAAGCAAATGCCTGCAGTGTGTAATCCATAAGATGGCTTTGTCAAAGAGATATTTTCTTGAATCAAAATATCTGACAGCTTCCTTCCCTGCTTGGTACAAGCTGCAAAATGCACAGGAAATGGACCTGCTGTGTTTCAACTTTCTCCTTTATCCCTGCAGACACTGACTTTACAATTCTTATTTTAGCAGACAGAAAATGACAATATTGGAAAAGCTATATGTTACTGATAGGCAAGAAAGGGTGCTCTTCTGCAGGGCCTCGGCAAAATCAGTCTTTATGGAGAAATCTATAGTACTAAATGCTTACATAGGAAAACTAGAAAGGTCTCAAATTAATGATCTTTGCACTTTCACTTTCAGAAACTAGGAGAAAAAAGGTATGTGGAAATCTCTGTACCTTCTACTCAATATTGTAGTGAACCTAAAAATGTTCTAGAAAAGAAAGTCTACTTAAAAACAAATTATATCCAAAGTAAGCAAGTGGAAAGAATAAAAAAAAAAAAAGCAGGAACCACTAAAATGAAAAACAGAAAAGTAGAAATCAAAAAACAAATTTTTTGAGATCAATACGACTGATAAATGTCTAGAGTGATCAGGGAAAAAAAAAAAAAGAGGTGAAGACACAAAGAAACCCCCAAGCCCCAGACANAAAAAAAAAAGAGTGAAGACACAAAGAAACCCCCAAGCCCCAGACAGCAATGCTGGTAAATTTTACCAAACATTTAAGAAAAACAAACAAACCAATTCTTCACATTCTCCCAGAAAATGGGAAGCATCCCAACTCATTCTATGAGGTCAGCATTACTCTGATTCTAGAACAGGACAAAGACATTACAAGAAAAGAACACCAGAGGCTAATATCTCTCATGAATACAAATTCTAAATAAAATTTAGCAAAATGAATCCAACAGTATATAAAAAGGATAACACACCATGAGCAAGTCAGGTTTATCCCAGAAATACAAGGTTTGTTAAATATTGAAAAGTCAGTCAATATAATCCACCATTTTGACAAACTAAAAAAGAAAAACCATATGATCATCTCGGTAGACGAAAAAGCATCTGACAAAATCCAGTATCTATTTAAGGTAGAAACTCAGCGAAGTAGAAGGAAACTTCCTCAGCCTAATGGATTTCTACAGGAAAAACCACAACTAACATACTTCATTTGTGAGATTGAATGCTTTTCCCTTAAAAATCAGGAACAAGACACCTGTTCTTACCTCTTCTATTCAACAGTGTACTGGAGGTTCTGGCCAGTTCAATTAGGCAAGAAACAAAAGTCATCCATTTTGAAAAGTAAGAGGTAAAACCCTATTTGCAGATGACATGATCGTCCATGTAGAAAATCCAAAGGAATCTACCAGTTTACTAGAACTAATAAGTAATTTTAGCAATGTTGCGGGACAAGCTCACTATACAAAATCAACTGCATTTTTATGCACTAGCAATGAATTGCAAATCAAAACTAAAAACAGTATTGTTTACAATAGCAACCAAATATATGAAATAGCGATAAATCTAACAAAAATGTGGAATACCTGTACACTGAAAACTACCAAACACTGTTGAGAGAAAACCAACCAACCAACCAACCAACCAACCATGTTAGTGGGTTGGAAGACTTCATATTGTAAAGATGTCAATTCTCCCCCAGCAGGTATTTTTCTTTTTAGAAATTAACAAAGTGACCCTAAATTTCATATGGAAACAAAAGCAATCTAGATAGCCAAAACAACTTTGAAAAAGAACACGTTTGAGGGCTACACTACCTGATTTGAAGAATTATTAAAAACTGCAGTAATCAAGAAAGCGTGGTATGGGCATAAAAGTATAAACTATTTAACTACTTGATGGTGATAGAAAGCAGATTAGTGGTTGTCTGGTGGGAAGGGAGCGGGAAGGGCAACAGGAAAGACTCCGCAGGCGCACTTGAGGGTAACGGATGTGATCATTACCTTGACAGTGGTGATGGTTTCACAAGTGTATACATGTCAAAACTCACCAAATTGTGTCTACTTCAAATATCTTCAGTCTGTTGTATTTCAATTATACCTCAATGAAATAGATTTTTCTGAAATCAAATCTCTGTGGCTCTGTTCTTATAAAATGAAATGCTTATCACATCAATATTTGAGGAAGGATGGAGCCAGAGGTGACCGACAGTACCTCCATGGGATCCGTAAGGAGCAAAAAGCTATTTGAGGTCAAGTTTCTTCACTGTCAGTGCTGAAGGAAAAATTCTTGACTTCTTTATAGTGTAACTCAACTACATGGAACAAGAAGTTTTAAAATGGGATGAGAGGATCAATAAGAACCCTAGCTGCATGGGCTTCTGAGATCAAAACAATTGTCTGGCTTGCTGGAAAAAACCTCCTAATTGGTATCTCAACTTCCAGCGCCATTTTGCCTACTCCATTCTTTGCAGCTACAGGGATCTTTCTAAACACAAGATGTGATCGCATCGCTCCTTTTAAAAAAGCACTTTGATGACTATCCATTGCTCCTAGAGGATCAAGTCTGAACAACTTAACATGGTTTAAAAATCTGGAGGCTCTAGCCCATGACCTTTCCAACTTCAATTCTCACAGCATTCCTCTCCCCTGCCCTTTTTTTAGCTAACTCCTCCTTATCCTTCAGAATCAAGCATTACTAAAATTGCCCTGGAAAATCATCTGTAACCACCTCAACTTGGAGCAATGTGACCCTCACAGGTGTGCGCACAGTGCCTTGTACTTCCCTCCCTGTGTCATAACACGTAACGTTCTATTCCAACTGCCTCTAACTGTATCCTCTAGGAACGCAGATCAGCTACCATGTCTCCATTATTGACTTTTGGATCTCTAATGTCTATTATAGTTTCTGACACATAGCAAACGTTTATATAATAGAAGCTTTTTGATTGAGGAAATGGTGAAGTCATTCAAGCAATTGACTTGGAAGTCATACGTGACCTCTTCCATTTCAAGCAAACACAGATAATAGATTAGTTACCTAGTAATGGCAGCAGTAACTTGAGATCAGTGATACGTTTACCGATGTAGGGGGTTTGAGTAACAATTTCACCAGGTTTTCAGCAGTCTGGACAGATGGAAACTTCAGCAGCGGGGGTGAAATAAAAAAGGAAGATAATGCTCTAGCTAGTTCCTTTCTCCCTACTCTCCACCCATATTCTAGGCACTACTGACACCACGAGAGAGGAAGTTAGACACCTATTCTGTAATCTTGATTCCAACTATGTGAACCATTACCAGTTAAAGAGAAAAATCTAATCCTAATTTTGTCTCCCAGATTCTGGGAATAGAAGAGAGAAATTTTCTGCACAATTCCAAGTCCCTTAGCATTACGTGACAATCTTACAATGTTTCCCT